CTGTGTGCTTCGTTGTGAAAGCGAAACTACTTTGTTTGGTCTTCCAAAAGAGGACGATATCCGCTTCATCATGCCTAGAGCTGATCTGTGCTGGTCGCTGAGGGAATACATCAACTTTCACCGTGGACGAAGCGGAAGTCCGTCACATGTGGTTGCCGCTCATTCATCGGATCCGCCGGGCGCACCGTTCTCGACCTCACGCTAAGCCGGGGCTTCCCCTCACGCTAGGCCGCTGTGTTTTTCGTTGTGAAAGCGAAACTAATTTGTTTGGTCTTCCAAAAGAGGACACGAATACAAATAAGTGGTATTTACAATATATATATATATATATATATATATATATTAGGGATGTAACGATTAACCGCGAGCCGGTCAAAAGGCGATTAAAATATGTGACGATTCAGATCGGTTGAGATGCCAAACAAGTGGCGATACAATTGGAGTAGGAGTTTGTGAATGTATCTCTGAGGGGAACTGAATATCTTTAGAAAAGTTTACGTGGTATTTTCTTTTCATCTTGCGTCTATGAACTATGAATGAAATATACTACATAAAACATATCTGAACGAAACCGCAGACGAGCTGAATGAGACGCAGATTCACGCTCTGACAGCAGGTGGCGCTTACAGTGTTTCCTTGGTTTCCGCTGTAAACAAAGCAGCGCTGCACTTATGAACTGTGTGTGTGTGTAAGCAGTGTAAGCATTATTATTCTAAAATGTTCATCAGATTGCCTAATACATAAATCCAAATGAATCAAAGCTCTCATTCTGCAAATGCATTTTTACCTATACAAATAAAAAAATTGCTTTGTTTTATGCAACGTTTCTAGTGCTTTTGATGCCATGGCAGGTTCTTTTTTTATAAGTCGAATAAAATCTGAGATTTTAAAAGGAGTTCTGCAGTGTTTATCTTGACCATGACCATCTGTAACTCATGGTTAAGATCTCAGAAGTCACAAAAGTCTGTTTGTTCATGAAGGCTACAATAAAAGAACCGAATACATAGATGTTAGGCTGTGTATAATGCAAGTCTTTATAGAGTTATGCTTTGAAGGAAGGCCTTTTCTCGCATTATTTCACTTAATGGAGCTGGCTTTGGTAATGCTTAAAGATCCATCAGCCTGTCAAAGCAATTTAAAACTCAATAAAAACAGTTCCCGTGTGGAGAGGGTCCTTCACCGTACTACACAACCGTATCAATAAAGTAGCCATTTATTGAGGAGCACTGAGTAATTGTTAGAAATAGTGAGTAGTGGCCATTACGATTTAGAGTAGGCTGTATTTTATTCAGTATAATCTTCTCCAGTAGGAACTGTTTCAGAATAAATGTGTGCCATCAGATAAAGATTCTGTTATTAGCGGGCTGATGGTGTGAATCTGAATTTTTAATACGGATTATATGTGCTTCTGCTCCATGATCATGTGAAACTATTGGAATTGAACTGCTGCGAGTCATAATTTCACACAATACAGAGTCAGTGTGATGCTTTCATCAGCAATAACAGAAATCTCTTTGATAACTCCCCACCAGATTTTAGTTATGTTGTTGTTGTTTTTTTGTTGTTATTGGAGTGCGGCTTTAGATGTTTGTCTGTATATTTATTTATTTATCGAGCTTTTCTATTTGGCACTCTGTCAAAATAGATTGATTTCAACAAGGCTATTTTCAGAGTAGCTCTCTTGGATGATCTTCGAACGAGACAATTGTCTGATAAATCGCAGTTGCTTGTTTTGCAGATAATGTTTTGTTTGATATGTTCCAAGGCTAATCTCGCTCGCCGAAAACAATCACATCAGACGTGTATTTCACAACTTCCTTCTGGAAAGCCATCGGTAATCCTCGCCAGTCAAACGTCTGCGTTTCATAATGCACAGATTGAAAACACTGATCAGGGATCACCGAAAATGTACACACAAGCGTGTCACTTGCTAGGTCGGTGTCATCTGCTCGTTGACTTTTTACCTATCCAATGCAATCTTCGACTATATTTGCAAATTAAGCACCTGGCAGTTCAGGTTTCTTGGGGGAAATAGCATTTGTGTTTGCCTGACCCTTTATTGGCTTTAACCTCAAATCACAGAGATGAATGCATGGCCTATTGGCGTAATAGGAGAGTGATTTAGGATGAATAAAACATGCAGCATGAAAGAGTAATGTTGAAAAAGGAGTGTGTTTTGTAATAGAGCCCTGCTGCGTGCCCATTGTGAGGTGATGTGTTAATAGTGGGAGAGCAACTGTGTGGTTGGAGGGGTGAGAAGGTCTAATTTATCCGCTGCTCTGAAGGAGAAATGTATTTTTATTTAAAACCTCCTGGCTCACACCCCTTGACTTCATTGCTGTAATGGAAATGGTAAAATAGGTGCTGTTGGCTGCGACCCCTGAAGCTTTTTTTTTTTTTCACCGGCTTTCACAAATGGCTGATTTTTCTCCCTCCCTCCCTTTTCCATTAAGACAGCTGGTATCTTTCAAAAGGTCCTGCTCTGGTGATTGATGTGTAATGGCTTCAAGCCTCACCTGCCCCACAGCGCGTTATTCATCTGTGGGTACTGTTGAGGGGAGTACTCGCCATTGCTTAATTGGTCCTGGTCACCATTCAGACGCCACATGAACCGCTGCATTGTTGCTAGTCGGTGCTGTGAACCTCACTGCAGCCGCTGCTTATCACTGGTTGCTTATGCTCCTGTTGGTATAAATAAGACGCTCTTTACATGTGAGAAGGTGTGGATTGCTGACCTTTCTGCAGTTATAAGTTATTCATCACATGCGGCGCGGTTGTACAGCGCTCGTTACGTGGAGTTGATGCAGTAAGAGTTGTCATGACACATCGTAATGTAAGTATTTTAATTGCCAAATAGTATCAAGATGCTACCACCAAATAAAAGCTTATTTTCTGGACAACTTTTCAATGTAGTTCTTGTGGTGGTGGTGTTTTTTTTTTTTCTTAAGTTGATTTTTAAAATTATTTAAAATTTTTATATATTGTTTTTATATTTATTTTGTTTTATTTTAATCGATTATTTATATAAATTGCATTATTATTATTATTATTATTTTTATTATGTTCACATTTGTTTAAATTTTTAATCAAAGTTACAGTAGTACTGTATGTACTGCTATTTAAAACTATTTTGAAATCTTGGATATACTTCTGGATATATTTTCTAATTATTCAACAATTTATTAATGAGACTGACTGACTAGTTTGTCTAGATTTTTAAAATTAATTTAACATTTTTAGCAGTGGTGCATAAAGTAGTGTGTTTACATCGTGTGTATTAGCTGTTTGCATGGTAAAACCTCAGACATTTATCCCATGTTTTTTGTTATCGTTTCACATGATATTCTCATATTTATCTTTTTTATGTTTTTACTGTAGTACTGTATGTACTGCTGTTTTGACAACTATTTTGACATCTTTTCTCATTTAACAATTTATTAATGAGATTTATTTTTTATTTATTTTTATATTTTGCTTACATCTTGTTTTTTAACCTTTTGCATGGTAAAACCTTTACCGTCTTTCTTTGGATGCTTTTTAACGTTGTGTCATGTCACTATCATATTTGTAAGTGAAAAATTGTGAAACGCACCTCGACCCCTGCATTCTGTTTGATTGTCTTGCTCTCCTGCTAGCTGTATTTGAACACCAGAATCATGAAACATGTCCGATCGGTGCCTGATGAACTCAGAACTGGCCTAATAATGCAGGGTTTCCTTCCTGATCGATTAGCCAACAAGTCATTTTAACAGCCCACTGACTAGTCAAGTTTGAAAATACGTAGTGTTGCCATAATTCAAAGTGACTCAAAGTGAAAAACACACAAAATGAAGAAAAACACTGTATATGGAAACATTTGTTTAGTGTATAAGTGTGTGTTTTTGTGTGTTCAGACTGGCGGTCAGTGCGTTAACTCGTCATAAGGTGATTAATCGGGCCTTGACGTGGCGGCGCAGCTCTGTAATCAGTCTGTAGTGTTGGAGGTTGATGAGGAGAGTAGCTGCCCCGTCAGTTGCCGTCTACTCAAGGTGACAGGCTGCCATTGACAGGACTGCTTGTCAACTGCACCAGTGTGCCTGTCATAAGCCATTTCTCTTAATTTTTATACCTGCTTTATAAACACACCTCTCACACTGACAAACAGCCCAATTCTGTCCTGCTGCTGTACTCCTGCAGGCTCGTCGCATTTCCAAATTCACTCGCTGTAGCTTTTTCGGCAGTTGTCAGGTTTAGCTGCACCAGAGGCTGTAATCTTTACTTTCCCGTTTATCTGAAGAGGGGGGGGAAGCGGCGCAAACCCTTTCAAGTGCGCTTCATTGTTACGCAGCCATTTCATGCTCTCATATTGGTGGTCTCGTTTTGACCACCTTGGTCTTACAAATATCTCACTGCAAGTTTTATTTTTAATTTTATTATTAATTCATAGTTTTGGTGGAGTTGCACCACGTTAGGGCTGCACGATTATGACAAAAATCATAATGGTCGATTATTCCTTTGAAATTGTAATTGCGATTATGCTTTCAACGATTAATTGCTGCTTTGAACGATTATGTAATTGTGGCATCCGTAATTGTAATTGCGATTAGAAATTTGATTGTGCAGCCCTACACCACGTGACATTTTACAAGTATTGTATAGTCTTGTTAAAAAGGTCAAATTATGCTGTACTTATTGACCTTGACATGAGGGGTCTGCACTGGTTCTCTCTATGATGTCATTTCCTGTTTTTATGTTGTTGTTTTTTACTGCATGTTTCTGCCTGTTGGTTGCATGTTGCCACAAAAAGAATTATTCTTTGATGTTTTTTTTTTCACTGTAGTATCAGAATGGTTCAATCACCCTGACATTGATTTTGCCTCCTCAAAAAAAAATATAAGTGATTTTTAATTGTGTGATGAATCAAATGTCATTCTGCAAAGAAAATGCATATACATACATATATATGAATAAAGTGTCACTTAATTGACCCATCTAACAATGTTTTTATTTTCTTTCTTCAGCTCTTCTGAAACACTGGGGTTGTTGGTGTGGCCAAATTTTCCCTGGATTTGATTGGTAAATTCAGAAGACTGAAGCCCAGGCTCACAGTCTACCTTTCACGGAGGCCCAGCCGTGAGAGGACAGAAGAAGGCACGTGGCGAATCATGACTGCCGACAAAGAGAAAGACAAGGAGAGGGAGCGCGACCGGGACAGGGACAGAGAACGTGAAAAGCGTGACAAAACACGTGAAAGCGAGAGCTCGCGGCCTCGGCGCAGTTGCACACTAGAGGGCGGAGCTAAGAACTATGCAGAGAGCGAACACAGTGAAGACGACGACAATGAGACACCTGGGGCCGCCACCGCCGAGGAGGCCACCAAAAAGAGCAAGAAAAAGCTGCCCAAGAGGAAGTCGCGCTATGAGCGAACGGAGAACGGCGAGATCACTTCCTTCATTACGGAGGATGATATTGTTTACAGACCTGGCGGTGAGTTTCGGTTGTACAATACTTTTGTCTGTCTGACTCGTAGTTTTCATCTCAGCTGGAGGAATTTGAGCTGGTTGTCATAAAATAAGCATGCCGTTTGGACAGCAAGTATGCATTTGGCAATATTTTGTTAGCTTTGCTGAAAATGGTGCTTCAGCGTAGCATAAACATGTCACTGCATCCACAACTTGGATGAGAAGAAATGCATTTTCATTGGCTGCTGTGCTTGACTAAATAAATTCACTGCTTCTTGATGAAAATGCAGAAGGAATCAGTGTGATGATATTTGAAACAGTCATATTTTTCACACTTAGCTTTCCAAAGCACACACAAGATTATTGTTTTTCTTTATATTTTTCAGTGAGCGGCAGAAAAAGTTAAACGGTCCACATTAGGTCTGTATTAGGCGCTGAGATTGAGCCTAGACCAGAGCAATAACCTTTTCCTGCGCTGTAAACATGGCCTCTCTTTCACCTGCTGTTTAGAAATTGGTTGTACATGAGGCTGGGGGGAAATGTCAACACTCCGTCGGAGGGCAAGGCACGGCTGCGTAGCGTAGCTGCCGTAGTCCTAAATCATCCTCACCGTGTCTTTCATTTATTTAGCAGCAAAAGAAAGGTCAAGCAGTATGCTTAGTTATTTAATGTGAAGACATCAGATTATAGCCAATGTACAGTTTCCAATCTCGACTCTTCGCCCCCTGTCTTCTGCTTAGAGATGTGTTTGCTCAGAGGGGGAAGGTGGGGAATGGCATGACGGTTGCCCCCCTCCTCCTCTTCCTCCAGCCATTGCCCCAGTGGAATCGGGTTGGAGGCATTATCTGCTGAAGTTCCTTGAAAACACAGTTGCTGAAGCTCTCTTTCAGTAATAACCCAGCAGACCCCTTCCCTGCTCTGTTTTGGAGAGTACTGCTGCGCTGTTTTAGATAAGACTGAATTGAATCACATGTCTGAGGCATGTTAGTTGATTTTGTCAGTGCTGCAGTGGAGAATAGAAAGGGATGTCACCATGTTTTGAAGATGGCTGCTTTAAAGCACCTTTGTTGTTTAAAAAAGGGAAGGAAAAGATCTTAATCCTTAGATCCCTAAAATGACAAACATCTGTTGTGGTGGAATTAAGAATTTGAAATATGTTGTTATACAGCAAACCTTTTACAATTGACTTTCACTGTCCTATACATCATACATAGATCATATAGCTGATCTGTTAATGCTTTAGAGACTGTGTTTTATATAACTGCATGTTAGGCAAATGTAGGTCTACATGATTATGATATATATATATCAGGGCTCCAGACTGCGACCATTTTTTCTGCCTTTGCACTGGCGCGACCACCGCGTTGTTCAACTCATAAGCGCTGCCATTTCTGTTGCATATGAGAAACATCAAACGGCAAACGAAACTGAAAGCATAACGAAACGGCGCTTAGAGAGTATACTTGCCGCGTCAGCACGAGCGCGAAGGTGCGCGCAGCAAAAATTAAGCGCATATTGAGGAAACGATGGATGGTTTTCAAGCGAAAGTCAAGTAAAAGACCGCTTCTTAAACCAGAGAAGGTAAACATGCTGGTATTCTTGTGTGAAAAAAAAAAACATGCAAGCACTGTCACCGTTAGGTTTACTTTTTGTTTTCATTTTTGAAAAATTTGTTATCTTTGCTGTTTACCTCTCATTACGCTATGGAGGCTCTCTTTTATTTATTTATTTCATTCCTCAGTGTTTGCTAAACGTTCTGTAATTTATTAGTCGGTATATAATACAGCATGTGGTGTGTGCCATGCCTCATCTTATTCGTTTTTGTTAATAAACGTTTTGTAAGCTAGTTTGTCATTGTATCTTACTGATTTATTGTTGTTGTGCTTTTTAATTAAGAATAACAATGAATCCATCTTTTGTTTTAGTCTTAAAAAAATGAAAGGTGTGTAGATGTATGTAAGCAAAACAAGTGACAACAAGATCGCGAATTCGAATCCCTGGCTTAACACAGCAAAAGAGAAACTCCCATTTACAAATTCAAATCACAAATAATACTACTGATGATAAAGAATGGGTTGAATGTTAACCACTTTTGTTTCCATATAACTAAACTATGATAAAAGTTCATTAGCATGCATTGAATAATCCCATGTTGTAGCGCAAAAA